AGTAGTAGTAGTAGCAGTAGCAGTAGCAGTAGCAGGAGCAGTAGTAGTAGCAGCAGCAGCAGCAGCAGGAGGAGGAGGAGGAGTAGTAGTAGTAGTAGTGGTGGTGTCACGCCGACGGAGAACTGGACAGTGCTGTTGCACGGGCACAGGGGTGCACGCCTTTCTCATTCGAGGTCAGGAAGAAAAACTCGGAAACTAATGTGGAGCCACAAAGAGAAAATGTGAAAACAATGCGAAGACTGTTAGCCTAAGGCAGCTCTACAGCGGGTACACTCACTCCATGGTGGTGACGCGTAGGGTGATTGACGCGTCAGTACCCGGCCGTTGGCCCCAGTCCCAGGTGATCGCATGACCTTTGACTTCGGTTGCAGAGATCTTGTCGTGCCCAGGACGGCTGTCCAGATACAGGAGGAACTCACAATCTTTATCGAGCGAGGTTCCGGACACGGTGAGTCGATCCGCTTTGCCAGCAAGGCTTGTACTGGTCAGTCATCTTTTTCGTGTCCTACTGCATAGCATAGCAGACGGAATTGGCAATACCAGACGCTGGAAGGGCGACGAGCAACCGGAATGCGAAGTGGGGGACTTGATCGTGGTCCTCCACGAGCTGGAGCATCAACGTTTCAGGCGTCGAGGAGCCGATCTCTTCATGAAATTGGAGATCGGCCTGGCAGAGGTGGGATGGAAGGAGCAGGTCATCATGGACACTTGTGGCATTTGTGCACTCGGCAGGCTCTTAGCGGTTTCAGGCGCAGTCTCCAACATCTGGACGGGCGGCGGATTCTCGTAAAGGGCGACCCGGTTCTGGAGGTGGACGGCCCATTTACCAAGGCCGGAGGGACTCGGCGCACCCAATGATGCGGATTCGAAAGTCGAGTGCCTGTAAATGCCTGTAAGGCAGTGAAGGGCCAGGGCATGCCGCTAAAGGGCAGGCCGTTCATTTGTGGCAATCTTTTTTTGGAGATTCACATCCACTTCCCCGAGAAGTTAGATGCTTCAATGATGCTTCTGCTCGACGACGTGCTTCCACGCGGCGTGAATTCGGCAGAGATTCGTGATGCATCCAGGCTGCATTGATCTCTGATCATCACTCTTCGCTTGAAGGGAGGAAGCTGCATCGTTGTGAGGTCGATGCCGTGTGTACCTTTGCAGATGCCGACCCATTTGCGCAGGGTTTGCAAGCAGGCTAAGCAGCAGACAGAGCCAGATGATCTGGGCATGCTATGGGCCATCTTTGGCCGCCAGCAGAACCTGCGTCGTCAGCGCCAACGACGGTGAAGCAACGGAGGGCAGCTCGAAGGTGACCAGGCAGATGTCGCCAAGACGAAGCTCAGCGTGTCCTTCCAACACACGTGGCCATTGCCTGTACCTTGTGAACTGTAGCTGGCTTCTGAGCCAAATCAGCTGGTATGGAATGAGATGCACAAGCTCCTTCTGATTCGGTCTTACCAAGCCATGCTAGCCGTGGAATCAGTAGCAGCCGGAGCGGCATCGGCAGCAGCATGACAGGATGACGTGGCAAGAGCATGACTTGATTGTGTTGCAGATCTTGTTGTCACTCGGTGATGAGTGTCACGCCTTTCTTTGCTGCTGTCCGCAGTCTTCCGACTTCCTCCGTGCTTTGCAGTCTCGAAGCTTGGCTTATGACGACAATGGAATGGATTGAAGGAAGGGGTAAATGCACGTAAATGTACGCGGCACATCTGGTGCCAATCATTTCATCCATGCTATCAGCATGCGTTTGGTGGTGGTAGAGGTAGAGGTAGAGGTAGAGGTAGTGGTAGTGGTGCTGGTAATAGTAGTACTAGTAGTAGCAGCAGCAGCAACAGCAGTGTATTGTCACATTGGCTACTAGTGCAACAGCATGAGCAGTGGCATAAACATCCTATTTCTTCATGATCCTCGGTTGCAGCAACAGCAAGAGTATTAGCAAACACAGCTATTGACTGCAACAGCCGCCATAGTCATTGGTACTGGCCACTAAATCACTAGCAGTGGGCTACTTGCAATTGCCCCATGCAAGAGAAGCGGAACGGCTGCAGTAGCCAATAATGCCAAAAGCCCTCAGGCGCTCAGTTCCTTCCCACATTTGCTTCTCAATTAAGAAAATTAATGTTTTTGAACTTGGCGAATACATGCGTCCTCTCCACCAGGTAAAGGATCCTGCGTTTGCAGTCACAGCATGACATGTGCGCAAGCCACGAGCTACCGCCTAAACTGCCAGCTTCAGCTCCTGGGTACTGGACTACTGCTGGGATTCTTACTACAACGGTGACTCTATTACCATATTGTGCAATTTTTCCTGCTGTACAGCAAACAGCTTACGGTGTGGATTCTCGATTTGTTCGCCTGGCCAGCTCCCATTTAACCAGAGGAGGAAGAAGGACAATCACACGCACGCGCGCACGCACACGCGCACGCACACACACACACACACACACACACACACACACGCGCGCGAGCACGACGCACACGCACACACACACACATACACACACACACACGCACACACGC